CTGCCTCACCGCCCGCCTTGTGCCGTTGCAGCTCTCGTGGCGCTGTCCTTCAGCGGAGCCGTCGGGCTGACGTTCCTCATGCTGGGCTGCGCCCTGGAGTACTACGGGTGAGCGGGCCGGCTTCGTTTCCACACCTTCCCCTTGTTAGTGTCTGCTAATTGAGGCGTTAATCTCATTTAACTGAGCTCTTTGGCTTCCGGCAGGCGCCCGCCTTCTGGCTTTTGGCACGTGGCAGTTTTTTGGGATTAAATACCACCTCCTCGGCCCGCCCGTGCGCTTCCACTAACAAAAGCCTGCGAACAGCTTTGTACTTCCTCAGGAGAAGCGCTGCCATCTTGCTGAACAGTCACTTTTAACCTCGCACAGTCCTCTTCCCCTCACTTCCCTGTTTCTTTAAACAACCATCCTACCACCAGGCTCCAGTTGGGATGTCTGTTACGCTTAAAAATCCCGGTGAAGCTAATGGGAGCTCTCGCACAGAGATGTGAGTGCAAGGGTGTGCCTTCACACTCGGCTTCTTTATACTCCAGGATCCCTCTAATTTGGGAAAGCTCTCGGTTCCCATCCCGCTTGCCTGCGTTTCCTGCGCCCTGGGTGGTGACTGTCGTTTTTGGTGAGGCGGTGGTGTGAACTGAGCCAGCAAGGCGAGGCAAACGTAAAATAAATGAACGCTTGGTCGTGTGAGAGAGTGGATCCTGCTCTACACGAGGCTCTATGGGTGCTTGTGCCAGTGTGCAGGGAAAATGAGGGGGGATTGCCTCTTTGGGTGAAAGCTTGTGGTTAAATCACGTAATCCAGTTTTCAAACCATAAAGTAGGATTACAGCTATTGCAGTTACTTTTTCTAAACAAAAGGTACTTTTTCTTGAAGCATCCACTTAAACTGATGATGTATTTCCTTTTTCCCCCCTTCCCCAGTGTATACTGGCCTCTGTTTGTCTTAATATTTTACTTCATCTGCCCCATTCCCCACTTCATTGCAAAAAGAGTCAGTGATGACAGTGATGCAGCCAGCAGCGCCTGCAGGGAATTGGCGTATTTCTTCACAACCGGAATTGTTGTTTCTGCCTTTGGATTTCCTATAATCCTTGCACGGGTTGAAGCGGTAAGTTCTGCTTGCTAATTTTTATTGTAAGACACCAGTTACTGAGTATAATCTTTAAGTGCGCTGTTGCTGCTTGTAAATCCTGTCTTTAATTTCATTGTTGTGATGTTTCTAGATTCTGACGGAAATAATCACTCTGCTGAAATTTTGTCTGCCAGTGCTGCTTTTTGACCCGAACAAAGGACTTGCATGACTGAAAAGTTTTTAGCTGTTTTTTTTCCCCCCAGATTTGTTTTGGTGCAATACAAGATATTCTCTCTTCCTACATCACATGCCTTCTCTGTCTCATCAACTTTTGCACCGCTGCTTGCGCCACCTTCCTTATTTTTATCTCAGAATGTCTGCTTTCTTCGTTTAGGATGCTGAAAACTTGGTGACTGGTGTGCATTATCAGTTAAAAGATAAAAGGCCAAACTTCCAGAGCTGCCCTTCTGGTTTTCAGAGCGTTTCCCAAGCTCATGCTTTGTCCCCTCAAAGTCTGAGGAAATTCTGCTAGCTTTTCTCTTTGCTTTCTGAACTGCTCTTCAGTGGTGAGATTTTTGTCACGTTTGTTTTGCAAGGCAAAGAACTCTTTCGTCCTGTCTCCCAAACTACCCAATGATGGTTTTATGTGTTGCATTGGGTTTTCCCCTTCAGTCTTTCAGTTTTGCTTAAAACTTGCGTGCTTAATTGTAATTTGTTTGTAATGCACGATTTCCCTGACGCTGCATTTTTGGTTTTAAGTTGCGGACCTGACAGCAGGCAGAACCAGAAGTGACCACGAGGGGGAACTCTAATTCATAGCCAGATCTTTTAAGAGTACCTGTCGTTTATTTTCAGTAAACTTCGTCGGGCAGGTGGTTAAAGCGAGCTCTTTAAGACCACGTACTGTTTCCATGCTTGTTACTGGCATTTATTTGAAAGGCTATCTTTTGTTTTGTTGCACAGCGATTAAAGGAGAGCGCTAGTTTCACCACATTTTTTTCCTGTGACTTAGGTGTGTTTTAGTGTCTTGTTTGGCAAGGTAATTATTTTCTTCTGAAATGCAGCATTATTAGCCTGCCTGTTGAAGTCTTGCATTAATAATATGGGTGGTTGCTAATTGCATAATTAGTCACATAAATGGAATTATTTATCATTTGTCTTTTTGCTTTATGCTTTTAGCACCTTTCTGTAGTATTTCGTTTAGTTTATCTAATGCATATAAATAACTGGCCTGAACCTATCTTATAAGAACTGCTTTGATTGTTTCATTTCCTTGCATTTCAGATCAAATGGGGAGCCTGTGGTCTGGTGCTGGCTGGCAATGCAGTCATTTTCCTTACTATTTTAGGCTTTTTTCTTGTGTTTGGTAGAGGAGATGACTTTAGCTGGGAACAGTGGTAGGACATCGCTCTGATGCTGGTAATATTTTACAGCATGTATCACCATATGTATACTCTGTGTGTGTATATGTGTATGTATTATAACATATCTGTGTGTGCGCACGCTGAGATGTATGTATGTGCATACGCATGTAGTTTTACATTATCAGATCATAACATGCTTTTTTTAAATGCATTTCAGCCAAAGGGAAAAGGCCCATGTGACAGCTGTCTTAATGTATTCAGTAAAAGCTGGAATCACCATTGCAAGTTTGTCCCCAAATAAGTTTACAAAACATAAGCTGTTTTACTTTTTTTTTTTCACTATATATGCATTAACTTTTGTTTTAATCACAATAGTATCATTGATCCATGCAATATTGGTCAGCATGCCTGTTGGGTTTTTTTTAACCACATAATCAAAATAGGCCAATATGAAGATTATCTTACTTGGTGTTGTTCAACTTGATCAGTCTTTCTGCTTTGATTAGGGATGAATGAGTACTTGCTTTTCATTTGAGTAATAGTAATTTTAGTGGTTTTTCTTGACAACATAAAAGCAAACATAGGTTATGCCAACTCTTTCACTACCTAGTGAAAGAAAAAGAAAATAACCTTGGTTAAAAATCCTTCCTTCCACTTATGGTGTTCATTTAAAAAATATTTCCCCTCCAAAGATACTCAGGCTTTGTCCCTATTCAGCTTAACAACTGTGGATATATTTAGGGAATAATGTATTTTAATGCCTCTTTAATGCTTAGAACTGACATTACTTCTTTTATGAAGGTTCACAAAAGAAGAAACTACACTCGGGACACTTACAATCACAATGTAGTATACAGCTCTGTATTATTACGTGTGAAATGCCTGAATTGCAAAGAAGTGAGTGTTCTGCTGGGTAGGGCTTCTTATCTCCTCAGTTCTCATTGCTTTTAAAACATACTTAAACAACTACTATTTTTTTGGTCTGTAGGAAGAGATTGTTACAGTGAAACACTATATTTTTAAATAGCATTATCCTAGTAAACATTCACATAATCACACATATAAAAGTAAGCTGTATTACTATTTTGACTTGCTGAAGCCTGCAAATTGGGGAGGCATGTAGTTTTGTAAAAATGCATTCTGATACAACCCTAACTCTAGAAGACTTTTCAGTAATCTGCAAAGGGGTAAAGGAAGAGACGCCTTAGTTTATTCTTTCATAGAAAAATGGACATAAAGAGGTTTCTGCTTTGTGAAGTAAGAAGCTGAATTCCTGCGTAGGGAATGCTTTACTATTGCAAGTTCTGAGACAAGTGGATTGCAAATGAGTGTTTTATAGTTGTGTGAGTTAGTTCACAGCTGACTGCCGTCACCCTGTATAGCTATGAGGGACATTGCGTAAGGAGGTAGTAGAATCCACCCTACAAGATGTTGCAGCTTCACCAACGCGATGCTTTTTGCCCCCTGAGTTGTATGGAACTACTTATGCTGCTCTCCAAACTCTCTCAGTATTCGTGTACGGCAGAATGGTGTCCTGTGGATTGCTGTGCAGAGCATTGTTCAAAAATTAATGAATGTTACATGAACACTCAGATACTGGGTACAGAAATCATTCTGTTGTCCAAGTAATGTCATATCACTTAAGTAGGAATGGAATATCAGGTTTCAGGAAGGTTAATTACATGTTTTAAATTTAAACTTCAGATGTGTGTAAGGTGAACAGTTCAGTGCTGAGGAATGCTGAGTAGCTGGATTTTATAGTGAAGTGTGTCTAGGCTGTCATTCTTGTAAAAGAAGAATTAACATTAAAGGACAGATTTATTTTTTTTT